TACTGAAAATATGCCACAGCCTCAAACAAATGCAAATGATTCATAATTAAAAGAATAGTTCACTCCAAAAAAGATTATTATCTAAAGATAAGGATACAACCAAAAAGTGGTGCATACGGCATGTGCTCTATATTAAAGGTCAAATAAAGCCATATGATAGCTTTGTGTGAGGAACAGACTGAAATAAAAATGCCTGCACGTTCCTGTCCAGAATTCGGAAATGACGTGTCAACATTCAGTTACTAAACATGTGCAAATTTTTGGTGTCAAAGACGTCAATGTTTGTGGTTAATCGACGTGATTTTCAAAGACTAAGCTACTGAATGCTTGCTTACATCCCATTATTGAAGGTTTTATGGGGAAGTGTGCGGCAGAAGTGTGAATATAATGGCATACTGAGGTGGACTGTAACGTGTTGTTGTTTGTGTTGAATGAGGTGTCAGTCTGTTTTCCTGCTGGCCTTTGGCACCGATCAGTGATTCAGCTGCCAAAAGATGCTGAGGGGTTTTTGCAAGGAGGGATTTTATCTTAACAAATATCAGACAGATGACAGACCGGCGACAACAAAAGCGTCGACATGCAGATACTAATAACAGCACACATGCTACAATCACTCATAGGGCTGCGAATGGAAAAGTGTTCTTAAAGGGATAGTGCACCCAAAAGTCATCATTTACTCACCATCATGTGGTTCCAAACCAACAACGCTTTGGTTAATCTTCGAAGACATTTTTAATGAAACCTGAGATTTCTGACTCTCCATGACAGCCAATCAGAATCCATCCGACATCCGAGTTCGAACATTTAAAGCAGCAGACGACGTAACAGTAGAGTGCTTATAATAAACAAAATGTTGTTATTGTGCATTGGTGTGGATGCTAATATAAGAACGGGTTTTATTCATATCAAGTTTAATTTGCAAAAGTAACCGGAGTAGAAAATCCGTGTGACGTTTGGTTACTTGAACTATTTTTGAACAGCTGCATTCTTACGCCAACGTTACACTGTAAAAAATGACCGTGAATTTAACGGTAAAAGACTGTAAAAATGCTACAGTAAAATCCTGTTAAATGGTTAACGGTAAATTCCCCTACTATATACGGTGAAAAACTGTATTGGACATTAATTTTACGGTAGTATACCATTTTTGGAAGTGAAAAATACCGTATAACTTACAGTGAATAACCGTAAATTGACATTCCCAGAATTCCCTGCGTTACATTTCAAATTTGATGTTTTTTTGTTGAAATAACTATGTTTCTTAGTTTTTTCTTATCAGTTTTGTATATTAGGGTTGTGTGTTACACCTAATGTTGTTAAATGAATGTTTATTGCATTATTTCAGTTTCGTGTGTGTTACCATGATGGTGTTTGGTGTTTGTGTGAATGACACTGTGCACCTTCTATATATGTTATTATTTAAAGCTGCTTGTGATGGGCTTTGGTTCATCATGTGACTTTCTCATCACCACCTGCATTTGGTGGTTATCAGTGTATTACAAAGGTACAAAACAGATTGCAGTACTTCAATAGGTTGGTATATTAACATTATATCAGTTAATGAAATTACGGTATTTAACTGTAAATTTAAGTTAAAACCGTAAAACCTAAAACATTGCTTCCGTATTTTTTACGGTAAAATTCCGGCAACCACAGCTGCTGTTTTTTTTCCGTAAATTTTACGGAATTTTTTTTACAGTGCACGTTAACAAACATACAACACAACCAGTGCAGTCAGAATAAGCAAAAGACCTACTCTTGTGAGTACGTTATTTTATTTTAAATGAATTGGTGAAAACAATTTAAAGCCCGTTCGCACCAAGAACGATAACTATAAAGATAGAACTATATTAGTGTTTGCACCAACGGACAACAACATTCTGTTTATCCTAAATAAGCGATGTAGTTTTGTCGTCTGCCTCTTTAAATGTACACGCTCTTTAAAATCGTCGGAATTCTTATTGGCTGCCAATGTTTTAAACGTTTTTAGAGTGATTCCAAAGATCTTGTTCTTCTGTGTTGTTATTGTTATAGTTGTGGTGTGGACATATAGTTGTAGTAATCGTTTTCGGTGTAATCATATTATTGAACTGAATCTGTCTAATGACTAAATCAGTCAGAACTGCATTTGCCAAAATAAACAGATCATAGAGGCCACTGGTGCCAATGTTTGTCATGATCTACTTAGGTTTATGACGCTTTTGGGAAATGCAGCCCAGAGCGATTGTTGACTTATTCATTGAAATCTTAGTCATTAGTTTCATTATGTCCAATTTGAATGGGGGTGTGTGCTGTAAATGCTCGTCAATTCCCATTCCTACTGCCTGTTATTCCCTCTTTTCACTGAGATGCACACATTTACACCCACAACACGGTCAGAAATCAGACACGTGCTGCACGGGTGCTCTGTGCCACCCACTGTGCCATCTTTAGCTCTAATTAAGTAGCCGGGTGAGTTACAGGGCTATTGTCCACCTGATTTAGACATAAAACAAGATCACATTAATATTTAATAGCAGTCCGAGCAAGATGATAGTAGAGGTAAGGAGAGCGCTATGCTCTTTCCCTAATGTATTACATTTTGAATACAGCCATCAACTCCGGCCAAACACGAAACATCAACAAGCCAATCAATATTTTGTTTTATTTTTAGAGTTTCCTGTCGATACCAGCAGCGTGATGTCATGCAAAACACAAGCACATGCTGTGTAACCCAGATCTATACCAATTGCTCCATCAATACACATTTAATACAAATAAACCAATTAGCTTCGATGGGCAGCCATTTCACATGTCTGTGTTGTCTGTATCCGTAGCCGATATTAACTCCAGGTGAAAACAATAGGCAGCAGGGAGTATTGGATTTCAAGAGGAACGATTGTTTTGAACATTGACACATGCATGTTCACCTGATCACAAATGTAGGGTAATGCAATGCTGGTGTCAGGCTGGAATACAAAGCCTGAAACGCTAGTTACCATGGCAGCATCCCAAACCAATTCCATACCGTTCCCAATTTAGAACAGAATGCATGAATCTCCACACATTCTAAACCGGCATAGCTATCTACTACCACACAACTGCAACATATTCCAGACCACCAGGTTGGAATGCAAAGCATGAAGCTCTTCAGCATCCCAAGCCAATATATACAAGACTGTTCCCAGTAATACAACATATGAATCCCTGTACATATTAGGATCTATTATGCCAATATATTCCAAACAATTCACCAATCTAAGTTCTCAGTTGTCTAACATTGGGTCAACCAATAAACGGCATAATTTGGGAAGTAGTAATAATAATAATACAATAAAAAATGTATAAATAAATAAATATATGTATCAATATGGGTCATGAAATATAATATCAATCAATCGCTATCCTTTACTCCAATATTTTCCAGAATGTCAGGCTGGAATACAACACATCAAACTCTACAATCACCAATTCCATACCAATCCCTATATCTAGAATACAATGCCTTGATTTTTACACGTGCTAAACCAGCATTTCTAGCATATATTACACCAATATATTCCCAACAATTCAGCATTTCAAATATATATTTCTGACTATTCCCAGCATGGAATGCAACTACTGGTAGTTACTATAACTACTGTTAATAATATTAATAATTTCTGCACAAATACAGGTCATATATTACAATATCGGTATACTCCAATACATAATTGGGATACTACAATTTATAATATAGGGATGCACCGATATGAAAATTTTGGCCGATACCGATAACCGATTATTCTTTATTTTTGAAAGCCGATAACCGATATGTTGGCCGATAACTCTATATCCAAATTGTTATATACTTTTTGAGAGCCTGATTACAAAAAAGGTCTCATCATTAAAAGCCACATCCCAAACACTTCAACATAAGCAGCCTAGTTTGAACGGTGTACGTTTTAAAAATATTTTTACTCTCCCATTACCAAATTTAGTCATAAAAAAGTCTTACAAATAAATAAAATAATGCATAAATAATGCAAACAAGTCACTGGACATCATTACACGTGTAAAGAATCAAAATATAGTGGTTGTTGTTATTAATAATATATCAATGATTTTGAAAAAGTAACAAATTAATACCGATATGGGCCGATACCGATATGGTGGCCGATATATCGTGCATCCCTAATAATATACTCTAATGTTTTTCAGAACAGCAGATGGGAATAAAAAGCATGAAGCTCTACCGTAAAATTACATCGGCCAGCATCCCAAACCAATTCCATACCATTCCAAATTTAGAATATGCATGAAACCCTGACATACTAAACTAGTATTACACAAATTTATTCACAACAATTCAGCGTTCAAAAGATTTATTTTAGGCCATTCCCAAGATGAAATAAAATGCATCAATAAGATTAACTAGGATTACTACCAATTAAGGGTAAAAATCGGTTCCTAGTTCATCAATATTGAGTGTAACGATAATTGCATAATTTGGAGGAAATAATAACAACAATATTTTTTTCTAGTAATTATTGTTACTACTACTATTAATAATATCTGCATCAACACAGGTCATTAAAATAAGCAATATCGGTAACGTTAAATCTCTATCCATTAGTCCATTACAGCACGTTGCAACACAAAGCATGCAGTTGCCGTGCCAGCATTTCAGACACATATCCCAGACCACTGACAGGCTGGAATACAATACATAAAGCCCTGCATGTCTGAACAGTTCACACCAGCTCTCTTTGTTAAGCAGAAGTTGTTCTGGTTGTCTTTACCGCACTGTCGCGTTCAGATTCAACCACCGATCATTCTTCATTTCGTGCACATATCGTGCTGAAATCTGTCAAGGCTAATTGTATTCATTTAATTACATCTAACGTTAGCTGTCTCCACAATCGTGTTCCCTCAAGCTTTAACTCATTGTGTTGTCCTTTATGTGGATAAATGTCAAGGAAACCTCGAGGATTATTCGGCGGTACACCGCTGCTTCCCTCCCCGGCGTACAGGCGCCTTACCTCGGCACGCAGCTCGGCGACGATCGGTCCACTTCCCAGGTGGCGTACAGGTTCATGTGCACCGGCCGATTGGAGGTGATCGCCACCGGTTTGGAGGGCTGCGGAGACGGTACGCCTCCAGTCCTCGGGAGCCCTCCCCGCTCCGACATGCTGGAGGAACCTTATGTTTGAAAACAATGAAGGAAAACCCGAATAAAACGGCTTTTGTCGGAGCGCCGATCCTCTACTGCAGCACAGTCATCCGTCCACGAGGACCGAGGCTCGGTTCTGCTGATCGCGACAGTCGGACCCGCCGTTCACCGTCAAACTCGCCGCGAAATGTTTCTCTAGTTGCGCTAGTTGTTTACCGTTGCAGGAAGCGGAAATTTCTTTTTTGCTCGCAGAGAAGAGCCACGGCTGAAGAGCAACGCCTCTTGTGAAAGACGAGCCCTCAAAACCAACCCTAGAGAGAGAGAGAGCGAGAGAGAGAGAGAGAGAGAG